TAGGTTTGGATTGGGCTCTTCAAGACAGCTGAAGGTGGCTCTTAGGGTGACTTGGTTCTATGATCTGGATAGTACTTGGTCCATCATCAATTAGGCTTTTACACTTTGTTGGGCTTGTAACTTCTTCCCCTACATTCATATTGTCCACAACTACGCTCTTTCCTTCTCGGCCGACCAAGCACTTTTTTTCCATGCTTGGCACTTGATGCACATGTCTGGACCTCACATCAGTGTCTGCAAGATGCATTACTCCGTTACCAACAGAATCAAAATTGCATCCTGATTAATAGATTGCCTATCACCTATGCTCCGCCTAAGTTTAGAAGAGCCACACGACGTTCCCGTATGAATGGAAACCACCTTATCTTGGATAGAGATAATTGTTGAAACTGCCTTCATCAGAATGATACCAAGAGAAGCATCATACAAGGGAGCTTCAGGATTTTCTCTGACATGGCTCATTCAGAATCACATGGCCTCAAATCATGACCAATAATACCATAGTTATAGCAAAAAAATTTGAGTTTTTCAAATTTCACTTTAACCCAGACCTCAAGCAAGTTCGGACGAGACATCCAAAAACCAGCAACAAGAGGAACAGTTAATCAACAACCACTCTAATATGAGCAACAACAACAACAACAAGCCTTTATCCCACTAGGTGGGGTCGGCTACATGGATTGCAAGACGCCATTGTGCTCTATCATTTATTAAGCTTTTAGAAATATTATTAATTAAGAGATCACGTTCAACAACTTCCAAGAGTGTCCTCTTAGGCCTTCCTCTACCTCTCTTAATCGGACTCAAAGTTATATGTTCCACTCTTCTCACTGGTGCCTCCCTTGGTCTTCTTTGTACATGCCCAAACCATCTCAACCGATTTTCTACCATTTTTTCCTCAATAGGTGCCACCCTCACTTTTTCACGTATGTGCTCATTTCGAATTTTATCTTTACGTGTATGTCCGCACATCCATCGTAACATTCTCATCTCTGCTACTCCAACTTTATGCTCTTGCTGTCCCGTTAGAGCCCAGCATTCACTACTATATAACATTGCCGGTCTGATAGCAGTACGATAAAACTTTCCTTTAAGTTTATTAGGCACCTTACGGTCACAAATAACTCCTTTAGCTTTTCTCCAATTAAACCACCCAGCTTGAATTCTATGTGAAATATCTCCACTGATTTCGCCATCATTTTGAATAATGGCTCCCAAATATCTAAACTTTTCCACTTGAGGTATAATTTGATCTCCCAATTTCACTTCCAAATTATTTTCGAATAGTCCTTTACCAAATTTACAATATAAATATTCCGTCTTACTTCTACTCAGACGAAAACCTTTCGACTCCAATGTCCTCCTCCATAACTCAAGTTTGCAATTAACCTCTTCTCTTGTCTCTGCTATAAGAACTATATCATCCGCGAAGAGCATACATTTCGGGATTTCCTCTTGAATATGTTCCGTCAAAACATTTAAAATCAAGTTGAACAAATAAGGACTCAGAGATGATCCCTGATGTAGTCCAATCTTTATAGGAAAATCCTTTGTTTGACCACTAGGCGTTCTTATACTAGTTTTTACCCCCTCATACATATCTTGTATGGCTTTAATATAAGCAATCCGTACTCCCTTTTTTTCCAACGCTTTCCAAAGCACTTCTCTTGGTATACGGTCATAAGCTTTTTCCAAATCAATAAAAACCATGTGTAGATCTTTATCTTTACAACGATACTTTTCCATTAATCCCCTTAGTAGATAAATCGCCTCTGTAGTTGATCTACCTGGCATAAAACCAAATTGATTCTCAGAAATACTTGTCTCCAATCTCAACCTGTGCTCAATTACTTTCTCCCACAATTTCATTGTGTGGCTCATGAGTTTAATCCCTCTATAGTTAGTACAATTCTGAATATCTCCTTTATTTTTATAAATAGGAATTAATGTACTTCTCCTCCACTCATCAGGCATTTTCTTGGACCGTAAAATCACATTAAATAACTTAGTTAACCATCTCACCCCTTCTTCACCTAAACATTTCCACGCTTCGATAGATATACAATCAGGTCCGTTAGCTCTACCATTTGCCATTTTCTTAAGAGCTTCCTTTACCTCCTTATCACGTATTTTTCGATAGAATGACAAATTTTGTTCTCCTTCACCAGTTACTAAATCCTCCAAGTTACTAGATGAATCCTCTCCATCATTGAAAAGTTTAGAAAAATAAGTCTCCCATCTATTTTTAATTTCATCATCTGTAACTAAAATTCTTCCCTCTTCATCCTTTAATACACCTTACCTGTTCTAGATCTCTTGATTTTCTTTCCCTACTTTGGCAATCTTATAAATATTTTGCTCTCCTTCCTTCGTCTCAAGGTTCTTATAAAATTCTTCAAAAGCTTTGGAACGAGCTTCACCCACAGCTCTCTTAGTTTCCTTCTTAGCCATACGGTACCTCTCCCAATTTTCCTCATTGTTACACAAATGTATGGCTTTAAAACAGTTCTTCTTATACTTGATTTTGTCCTGTACACTATTATTCCACCACCAAGACTCCTTATCTCTCGGACCAGAACCTTTCGATTCTCCCAAAACTACTTTTGCAACCTCCCGTATCTTTTTAGCCATATCCTCCCATATGATGTTAGCACTTCCCTGAGAATCCCAAATTCCTTTATCCAAAAGATTTCGCTTGAAAATATCTTGCTTCTCACCTTTTAATTGCCACCACCTAATCCTTGGTGTTACTACTTGTCGACGTTTTTGGATTTTACTCATAATACACATATCAAGGACTAGGACCCTATGTTGTGTCGTTACAGCATCTCCAGGGATCACCTTACAATTTTTACAAAGTTTTCTATCTGTGTTCCTAACCAAAAGAAAATCAATCTGCGACCTTGAGGCTCCACTTTTGTAAGTGATGAGATGCTCATCTCTCTTCTTGAAACAAGTGTTGGCAATCTTAAAATCATACGCCAATGAGAAATCAAGAAGAGTTTGCCCTTCATTGTTTAGCTCTCCAAAACCAAAACCACCATGCACCCTCGCATACTGACCAGCTTCCCTCCCGACATGCCCATTAAAGTCTCCTCCAATAAAAATCTTTTCACTCTGTGGTATGTGTCGAATCAACCCCTCCAGATCCTCCCAAAATAATTCCTTAAGACTGGCTTCTGTCCCGACTTGCGGCGCATAAGCGCTAACAATATTAACAGTCTCACGTCCAATTATCATTTTTAAAGAAATAATTCTGTCTCCAATTCTGTTAACTTCTACAATGTTCTTCTTCCACTCCTTATCTATAATGATGCCTACTCCATTGCGTGCACTTACTTTTCCTGTATACCAAAGTTTGAAACCTTGAATATCCTTAGCTCCTTCTCCACGCCATTTTGTTTCTTGCAAGCAAAGGATATTGATTTTCCTTTGAATCATAACCCCTACAACCTCTACAGATTTACAATTTAATATCCCAACATTCCAAGTACCAAATCTAATTTTGCTCTTATGACTAACCACTCTAATATGAGCAAAGTTATGAAAAATAGCATTATAAAGTTTAGGATCTTCAAAGCAAATTACCTCACCTATCTGACTCCCCATAGTGAAAATATTCTTGAATGTCATAGCCTCCTTCGAGAGCTCCTAGACTTGAATCCAAAACAAGCATTCATAGAAATTCACCTCTGACATATTAAGAAGCCGTGACTAGGGCAAAAGATTCAACAAGAAAGTGTCAATACTCTATGGCCCATCTCGCAAAACACGATCATACTCACTTTGTAAAGTAAAGCTAAAAATGAGCACGCCATTATATTCGTTGACTTTCAGTTGCCCTTTCGGTCGCCAAGACTTGAAAACAGTCTCACGTACCATTTCTCAATCTAGGTACTTCTCAATGAAAATCCGCCCAATCAACAACAAATCCTGCTCTATTTACACCACCGCCTCTTTCCACTCTATCGGAAATCTTTTCCAACCATTAACCATTGCCATATTTGAAGAAAAGTTGCACGGGCACTAACAGAAACTAAAAAAATCACAAACCGGCCACCAAATGAAAAACCCACTCTAAGGAGGAACTTCGGAGCGAGTGCCAAAACCCAAACTGAGAAATCAAGAAGACAGAGTGAAAATAGAGAAGATGACGCACGAGGAGAGGCTAGGTAGAGAGAAGATGAAGAAAGAAAGAGGGGAAGAATATGGAGAAAAATGCAAACTCTCAGATTTTCTCAAGGGAGAGAGAATTGTTCCTATAATTATTGTAACCAATGAATTTATTTTAGTTGTTCATAATTGAATATTTTAAATTTTAGTATTTAATTCCACCTTTTTTAAAATTCAGATTTTTAATTTGTCAACGTATTTTATATTTCCTATCTACTTTTTTTAAAAAATTATAATTTTAAATTTCATATTTTTCTTTAAAAATATTAAATTAACCACAAAAATATATATAACAAAATTCATATCTATTTTTATTATTATACATTTTAATTGACTTTTTAAATTAAATTATTTCAACAAATTTTAATTTGTCCACTTGATTTCTAAAAAATATACATCTAAATACAAATTAAGTTACAATTATAGATTTTTCTTCTAACCTCAATTCACTATCATCAATTAATTCTTATCTTCAGTTGCAGATTTTTTTAATCCAAACACACCCATAATAAATAATTAAACATGGAGACAAATGTAAGGGAATCAATCTGGATCAAGATTTTGTTCAAACCCATTCTACATAATTCCTGCGCCTACACCCTTGCTAATGCCTCATCTGGCAATCTCATTTAACATTCTATAATATGTGTGACGTGTTTAGATCGTGTTTCTTTTTTTAATATGAAAGTATGAAGTAGCATGCCCCAAGAGCCATTGGTGAGTTTAGTCTGTTCGCGCATCTCAATGTTTATACTTTATTCACCCTCGTAGTTCCACTCTCACACTCGTTGCCTAAAAAAAATTCAACCCGAACTCAATACTGAAAATTCTATTAAGAGCTTCTGGTTCATTCAGTTAATCTCAATGCTTCACACAAGATCCTCAAAAGAGCTCTTAGGTGCACAAGTACAGCAACATGAAATATGAAAAACATTTTAAGGAGTGATCTTCATATATAGAAACACCGAACACGGCTTCTTCTTCATGCATTCCCGTATTTAGAAAGAAAAAATTGAAGCCTGACCTCACAATCACGAAGTGGAGGTCACATTTGAGGCGTAGATAAATTTCTGGATATTATCGCACAGAGCCAGTGCTTTAGCAGGTTCAAAGATCTCCACTCCATGGAACCCATCGTCGGTGAACATGGTGACCACCTGCACTCCACGTGTTTCCAGAATTTTCGCCAACTCCTTCTGCTTGTCCACCAGGGGGTCCCCGCCATAGCCGTTCAAGAAACACCGTGGCAGCCGTCCGATCTTCTCCCCATAGATCCCATCACCCACAGTCGGATTACAGTACTCATGGTCCCGGTCGGCGCCAAGTGGCAAAGACAGGGCCCACATCAGATCATTCGCCGGCAGCGGCAGAATGCGATCGTTGACCAGCCTCAGCTCCGATGCCGTCCTGTGGACGCCACTAAAGTAAGCCGAGTTTAGTATCAGCCCTTGGATGATCACGGGAGACAAGTCAAGATCGGCGGAGCGTAGACCAGCGAAGTAGGCGATATTTGCTCCAGCGCTACTTCCCATCAGGAAGCACTTGGAGAAATCCGCGTAGTCCTTCAACCAGGGGTCGGATCCGCCGGGATCCCGGGCTTGGTTTCGGACCCACTGGATGGCTTCGACAGCGTCTTCGTAGGCGGCTGGAAGGCGGTGCTCGGGGGCGAGGCGGTAGTCGACGGAGACAACGAGGGCGGGCAATCGGGAGGCCAGGGCAGAGCAGGAATCGTGGAAAACGGAGGAGGAAGGGTGGTAGAAGAGGAAGCCGCCGCCGTGGTAGTAGATGAGGAGGGGGAGTTTGGGGCGAGAGGGAGGGAGAGGGTGGGGGAGGAAGAGGCGGAGGGAGGTGTTGGAGGCGGCGTTAAGAGGGAGATCCTTGGAGAGAGACAGGGGAGAAGGGGGCACGGTGTGGACGGGTTGGAGTCGGGTGAGGGAGCCATCGGGATTGAGTTGAATGTTTAGGAATTCGTAGGGTTCGACGGAGGAGCAGGAGCCGGAGCCGGAGCCTGCATAGGGAGGCTGGTCGGCCATGGCTCACTGCATTCTGTCACAACCTATGTTATGTTCAGATATAAGAGAAGCCCTAAGCTGTAAAAATTTTAGAACCTTCTTGAACAAGGGAGAGAATTTTAGAGATTTAAAAAAAAATTAATATATTTTAAAATGTTTCAGAAATATCTAAAACAATTTAAAATAATCTGAAAAAATTTAAAAGTTTTAGAATGTTCTAAAAATTTATGAAGGAATATGAAGATATTTAAAATATTTTAAAATATTACACATATATCTTAAAAGATAGTCTCTAAAAACTTTTTTATAAATATTTAAATATTTATTGTAGATATTTTTATAAAACATTTTAGAGAATGAATGTAAATCGTAAGATTAAATTAATCTCTATCGTTTATTAAGGAGGTAAGAATTTTTTAGAGAAAGGAGGAGGCCTATAAATACCTCCATAATTCCTCATTTGTAAACTCAAACAAAACAATAAAGCTCTCAAGTTCATTCATTCACTCAAACTCTCTACTTTTTATTTGTACATCTAATTCTCTTAAGTTTTTTGACTATTTTATGTGTTTAATTGACTTAATCATGATCAAGAGGTTAATCAAATTAAAACTAATACAATTTAAGAAAAGAGAAGTTTTAAGTTCGTGACAATTCTTTAACATGCTATGGAGCCACCATTTTGTTTTTTGTTTTATTTATTTATTACCCAAGCTCTTGTTATGGCCCGCGTTATTAAATCAGCTACTTCATTTTTGGTTGCAACAAGTATGAAAATGATCCAAATCCGCCGGCCTCTTACCCAACCATGTCGCCACATTGAATGACCGCCTAAGTTAGGTTGGCATATAAATTTCATACTCCCTCACCGCCTCTCTCTTCGTGCCACTGGCACCAATACTTCCTTTCACATTCACAAGCCAAGAAACTTTAAAAGAATAACAAGTGAAATAGAGAGCACAATGTCATCAAAATATATGTTCGTCCAATAAAAAACAACTACTCTTGTTTCTATAATTTTTACTAGAGTACATGTAGGAGGAAGGTGGCAACAAAAAGCATTGAAAAAGATTTTTTTAAAAAAACAAAATATAAAACTAAAATATCCCCAACAATAATTTTTCTGCCCTTATTCATGGGCAATTTCAACATTTTCTCTCCATTTTGGAATTGGAGCCTTCCTCTCAACCATCCCTTCCGTTCTCATACCAACGATGGTCTTTCTCAACCACCCATAGACGAGGAGAGGCGGGACGCACATGATCTATCTTGAGTTTTTAAACAATTATTCAATATTAAATTTAAATGTTAAGAAACCAAAACGTTAAGGGAAAATAACAATTAAGGACCCCATAAGATTATTAATTCTAATTGAGGATCATAAAATATTAAAATCTCAATTAAGGATCATGATCCTTATTTGAAATTAAAAAACATACATAACTTTATAAAATTGTCCTCTACTAAATATTAAAATATAACAGTTTATATTTGCATTCTGTATACTTTTGCGTGTGAAAAAATGTGCTCCCGCTTGCTCACTACTCTCATTGCCTTCAATCCTGGTATTTAGTGGAGTGAGTTATTATTTGGGTTGTCATCTTCTCCCCTCTTAGTAATAGGTAAGTACATGCATTGTTTTTTTTTCTCAACTTTTACATTTTTTTTCTCTTCTTTATTTTTGTTATCAGACCATTGTGATTGTTTGTGGGTATATGAAAAATAAATTCTATTTTATACCGTTTCTCGTATATAGCTAAGAAAAAAAATAATCTTATTTATTATTATATATATACAAGAAATGATTTCTAACAAAGATAGTGTTAAAAAATTGAGTGAAAAAAAGAAAAAACTCTATTGTTTTTTTATCGTCATGCTATAAAATTTTTTCTTTTTTGTAATAAAAAGTGCACTAATGTTAAAAGATGTAACTTGAATGTTGAATTGTTGAAGTCATAGTTGGAATTAAGAAAGATAGTTGTAAGTAATAAATTTATTTGTTGCTTTTGGTTGTTCCAAGATTAATTCTCATATGACAAGTACTTTAGCAAAAGAAGTATTTTGTTATTTTCACATCGAAGAATATTTTGTAAAACATTCACAAGGAAAAATGATCTTTGAAGGTGGGATATCAATTTAAAAATTGATTAGAGAAGGTATAAATCAAGAGTTGTTGAGGATGACTTTTTGTACTAACATCCACAATATATATATTTTTTGTACTTATGGTGGTAATAAGTTATGTAAATAGGTTTGCAATTCAAGAAGTTTTTTGAGAAGTAGATTGCACAACTATCATTTAGCTAGATGGTAGGTTGGGATATTTTTTGTGTAAAGGAGATGCAAATATAGGGTATATATATTGAAATTAGTGTAATATGCTGCAATTGTAAATGCTTTGATAACGTCACACTACTGAAATTATTATGGTGGTATGAGAATATAGTCAATGTTAGTTGGGACAATAAGAAATTACACTTGAAAATATATTGTTTCCCAATATAAAAGAAATTGACTTTTGAAATGTTTTAATGTCATTTATGAATATATAAAAGTAACTTGAAAATTTACTAATTAACTTTACTCAAGAATATGAACAATGACTTTTCAAATTGTATGCTTGTTTATATAAAGTAGACCACTTGAAAAATAAAAACATAACACTGTTAAAATCACTATTATGACATGAAAATATTGCTAATATTTATTGGGAAAACAAGGAACTACAATTGAGAATATATTGTTTTTCAGTATAAAAGAAATTCACTTTTGAAACGTTCTAAGATTATTTATGAATATACAAAAGTGACTTGAAAATTTATTAACTTCACTAAAAAAATATGAACCCAATAACTTGTTAAATTTCATGCTTATTAATATATATAGTTAGACAACTTGGAAAGAAAACATAACACTACCCAAATTACTATCATGGTATGAGAATTTTGTTAATATCAATTGAAAAAATAAAGAATCATAGTTGGGAATAGATTGCTTTCCAACATGGAAACGAAGGTATCACACTTGAGAATTTAGGCAAATGACATAGAAAATCAAGATAAACTACTACTAAATAAAATGAGAGTCATTTGGACATTTAACAAAAAATTCTTAGGATTAATTGTTATATCATGTACAATATTGAACAACAGAAAACACTAAACTGCACAAAGTTTTATTTTATATCATACATATATAACCAAAACATCACTTGTGAAAGTACATGTCACATTTGTCCAATCTATGCTTTTAATTTTTTTGCTCCTCTATGGCCAACATTTAAAATAGATGTCATCACTTGTAAGGCTATTTTATTATGTGGATGAGTCATCATCCAATACAATAGCTCAGATCTCATTTTATTCAATTATTCCTATACAATTAAAGCAAGTCAATGAACAAATAGACAATAATAATAAAATGGTGACTTCCAAAAATTTTGTTTGTTACTCTTTCAACTAACCTTTGTTAATAGTAATATGATATGACCGCCCTTACTTCTCTTGTGTAATATTATTTCACTATCTAAAGCAAATAATGACATACATGCCACAATTACCTATACATAAACATTTTTCAACATAAAATTTGTCAACATGGGTTAAAAAAAACAAATTGCTACTAAATATATTTAACATTGCTAATGAATACTCATGATAAAACTATTGAATTCATCTTATATCAAATTTGAAATTTCCTTAAATCACGACTCACGTACTATATAAATACAGCAAAATTAAATTATAAAATAGCATATGTATGTCTAACAAGTGCTTGTCAAGTTGAATATAGAAGGGGAATAGGCCTGGAAAAGAGGAGAGGCATGTGAAAATGTTTCGTTGGGCAAAGCAAAAATTGGTCTTTATAAGTCATTTGTAGTTTCATGGCGTTTGCGTTGTTCAACTCATGAATTCTTGATTAAAATAACAATGAATTCTTGATTTTTAATTATTTGAGTTTGGCAACTTCAAACTAGTAACGAGAGGAATTTAATTTACCAAGCAAGAAAAGATCATGAATATCATATACTTGAGGCGATCTACATGTACAAGAAGAGAACAATTTTCATAAAAATGAGATCCAACTTTTTCTTAATTTAAATTTTGTTTAAATTTAGTTAGCCAGAAGAAAGGAGACAGGGAACAGAAGCAATGGGATCAACATGGATAACAGAAACGAAAGGTTCAAAAAAGGGAAAGGCAATAAGAAAGTTGAGAACTTTACCCAGATATGAAGAGTAAAGCAGTATGGAGCAACAATGAGTGGATTAACCAATGTCAATCGAAGAGCAGTGTTTGAATGGAGCAACGATGTCTGTGCGGTGTAATGATGAACACTGAACAATCTTCAAGAATCACTGGCAGGCAACTGTGACAATAACTAGAATGAACAGAGATGCGATAGTCAGATAGTAGAAAAAGGAACAAAGATGATATGGCATCTACGTAGGTATTTTGATTTTCTCTTGAGGGGCATCTAAGAGAACTCACATTTTATTAAAATTTTCAATAGGAATCATGATCTTTAATTAGAATTTCAATATTTTATAATCCTCAATTAAAATTAATGGTCTTAAAGGATCTTTAATTGTCATTTTTCCAACAAGAAAACCAGAAACGAATACATTCTCTCAGAAATACTTCTAAATTTTTAAGTGTTAAAGAACATATCTAGTAGAATATAACATAACATTTAAGTTCCTACCATAGAATAGTCAGTTAATATACAAGTCACTACAGTATTGTTTTATTTCATTCTGCATTCATTACTATTCATCTACCGAGAGTTACCTTGATTAGATCTAATATGTTCGAATCTGATACAACATTTAAAGACAAATGGTCCCTAATCTTCTAATATAAGTAGTCGTTGAAAGTCCTGGGACGTAGAGATTAGCCCTAAACTTGTTACAAGTTAAATTCTTATTTCCTCTGACAATAATAGAGCACAAAAAGACAGCAACGACAAAACCACTTGATAACAGAATAAGTTTTGCAGCCCATTAAACATTTGATAAAACTAATTTGTACGCTGTCAATAAATTATTGAACAGAAGTTCAGCCCTTTCTTTTCCCCATTTAAAAAGAGGGTTGAGAGAGTTTTGAAATTTGAGGAACATATTTTAGAGTTTACTCGAAAAGGATCTTACTAGCAACTTATTTTTCTGACTTTTTTGGGGCCTACTTTGATTCCTCATTTGAACAATCCCATAACATTATGAATTCCTTTTCTATTCTGGTAAATACCGCTTGATTTTCTTTTACCAAAAACGAGAGTCTGTCTGATTTTCAAACACCATAATGGGCCCAAATAATCTACGTTAGGCCTAGTTCGCATCGTGATTGCAAAAGTCTCAAATGATGGTATTCTCCTTTCATAAAATTTGAATCCGCCCATACCAACTGTTACAGTATAAATTTTTGGATGAAGTAACAAATTTGACTATGAATTATTATTTTTAGAAATATCTGATAACTTGAACTGTTAAGCGGTATGAAATAAATCTTTAATATTTAAAACTTGACCATCCAGTAACCTGTCGTTAACTTCACTTAACGAACGTTATGTGAGGCTTACAATGACATATGACACTCCATAAATGCTCCACAAGCAATCCACGTTAGCATGTGTAAATGTACAAATTTATTTATGAATTATTTTTTGAGAAGTACTAGATAGTCTCTACTATAAAAAATGGACCATCCATCACCTTCCTATCAATTTTGATCAAACATCATTTATTTTCATACTTATGAGACCCATAGCGTGTCAATCTCTCCAATGTTCTTGCTTTCATTCTCAACCTTAGCTAAAAAAAAAGATGTTTAAGTAATTCTTATTTGAAAACATTCATAAGGACAATGTTAATGAAGTAAAAGCTTGATTTTACTATGCGTGAAAGAAGCTTGAATCTAGTTTAATTTAGCCACAAATTATTTTTTACTTTTTTGGCATTGTTTTCGTGAATGTTTTCAGATAAAAATTCTTTGAACCTCTTCTTTTTGAGCTAAGACTGAAGATGAAAGCAAGATTGAAAAGATTGAAGCATTGTGAGTCTCATAAATATAAAAATAAACGGTGTTTGATCAAAATTAATGAAAAGATGTTGGATGGTCCGTTTTTTATAATAAAGATTAACTAGTGCTTCTCAAAAAATAATTCGTAACTAAATTTATACATTTACACATGTTGATGTAGAGTGTTATGAAGTACCAAATGTCATTGTGAGCCTCATATAACATCTGTTTTCTAAAGTTGAAAATTTAATTCAAACCACTTGATAATTTAAGTCATCATATGCTCTTAAAAAAAAGTATGTAGTTAAAATTTGTACCTTTATCCTTATTTCTTCTTCATACAGAGTCATGTGGATCTCGAATCTATTCATCCTTAATGTAAGGGCGTAAATCATGTTAAACAGAAGCAACCATGACATGGCAGTGACAAAAACTGGTTAAGCCTCTAGAGCACGTAAAGAAATAGAGATAAGAACTGGATCTATATAACAATTAACAAGTGAGTCAGGTCAATGAAATGACAGAGACTCTCATGATCTGGGAAAACGCAGTGAAATGTAATCCTTCTCATGGAAGAATGACAGACATTTTCATTGATCACATCCACGTCCTGCACTCAATTTGATTCCACTCATCACTGCCCTCGCAAAGATTGAAAATAGAAGATTATCACATGGAGTATTCCCTGCCAAAATGTTCTCTTTACAGAATAAAAATTCAAAGGAGACATTGCGACGTGTCAGAAGTATTGAAGGGGCTGGGCAGTTGTTGTAGTTAAGAGTTTGGCTGTTAAAGTAGTTAGCACTTCTCAGTTGGAGTTACAAGTTTGACTGAGAGATCCCCTTCCCATTTTTACATCCATCACTTCTTTTTCCCCCATCCCTTTACAAACACACTACTTGCATTCACTTACTTTTGTTAGCGGCTACGGTATATAGAGGTAGCTTAGATGAGGAGGTAGAACCTGTGGTTGAACTTGAAGGTTCCTGTAAATCATCTTTTGTCCAAGAGTCTCCATACCAGATATAGTACAAAACTACCTCCACAATGGCGGTGCTGTATGAAGTAAATACAAATTCAATCAGAAAGGCAGTCCCTTTCAGAGACCGTATTTCCTGAGTCTTGTTTATTGTTTGCACTTTGCACAATGAAAGAGAAACACTGTATATTTGCTGCTATGAAAACTAAAATCCTAGCTTTTTACCAGCATAAAATCTGTGATGACTTATCAGAGTCCATCAACCAGTCTCCAGACTTGAGAATGCAAATATCAATTATAATTCAAAATGGAAACTTTCCTAACCAACATATTCCTGACTTTGAAGCCTTGTAATACCCAAACTTTTCTATATCATAAATTTCAACTTTCACGTGATGGCCCAAAGAGGATTGGCCATTCTGTCATTGTAATATTTGCCAAATCTAAGTGTTTCTAATAATAAAAACTGAAAGACTGAAACAACCACTTGGCGTTTCATGTGTAGTTCGCGATCGAGTGGAATTAAAACAGAAAATATGCTCTCTTCAATTTTTCAAAAGACTCAAAGCTTAAGAACTAAATGCATATAGTAGGACCCAAGCCCTGTGATGATCAAATGATGATCTGCTACTCTCATTTTCATGGACAGGGCATTTTCCACTTTGCCCAAATACATCATCATTAGTTGTAAAGACAGGACGGGGCCAGGATTTGTTGCATGCTTTGAAATTTATGCTCACTTTCATAATGTCACTTTTACAAAATATGAGAAAAACAGACACATATATGAATAACTTTTGCCTGGGTCCTATGCAGGCAGTTAGGCACTAATGTCATGAAAATATTTTTTTTACTAATCGTACAGTCACAGGGCCAAACTGCTTCAAAAGAAAAAGAAATGTTCCATCACCTTTAGAAGGTCATACATTTCTTAAAATTCAACAAATTGTGAAAGCAATTAAGCAAAAGATAAGTGAGTCTACTAACACTACTCCCAAAAAGATCACTCAGATTAAAAAGCGTGAGCATTATGTCAGACTAAATGTTCATATGAAGGATAAAAGGAGCAAAACAAGGAAGACACTGATTTATATAGGGCTAGTAAATTACAGTTTTCTTTCCCTTTTGCCGCATCAATTTCTACAAATTGTGAAAATTAGATCTGACCTACAACCATACAAACTTCCATAAGTTAATCATAATGACAAGTACTACTCAGCCAACTAACTCACCCACCCTTCTTTCGGGACTTGAACGGAAAATTAGACGGCGGTGATGGTGAAAACTCAAAAGGTAAGTGGGGCGGCTCAGCCTCACCGGAAAGCATGCCTACAATCTCTTTCATGGTAGGTCGCTTTGCTGGGGATCTCTGTAGACATAACAAGGCTATAGTGATGCAGAGCAAAGCCTGCTCCTTGTCTAATGAATGAATGGAAGGGTCAATAAGATCCAATAGCCTCCCGCTGTGGGCAAGTTGTCGAGCCCATGAAATAAGATTAGCCCTTTCAAATTCTGACATTGGTGATGCTGTAACTTGAAGAGGTCGTCTTCCTGCTATCAAAACCAAGAGTAGAACTCCAAAACTATAGACATCACATTTCTCAGAAAGCTGTCCACCACCACCATACTCAGGAGCAATGTAACAAACAGTTCCTCTCATACTTGGCGTGCTGCTAATTCCACCACTCTTGGGCATATCCCCGCTAACCCAATCCTGGCTATTTCTTCTGCCATATCTGAGCTCACCGCTCAAACCATCCAACCACCAGTCAATGCTTCCTCTACTACTCTTGCTTTTCCTCTTCTTCTTCTTCTCCGATACCATTTCATCATCTTTCTGCCACCATGATTCCCCAACGTAATTCGAATCCAGACTTCTTCTTTTCTTCCTCGTGAGTTCCTCACAGAACTCCTCCTTCCACCATTCTCTGGGTTTTCGGTTCTTCTTCTCCTTCTTGACTTTTTCTTCCTCTAGTGATGCCCACCAATCCAATCTCCTTCTCTGCTTCTTTGACTCGATTTTTTCGGCCGGAGTGCTTGTCCCTGCGGTGCTTGGAGACGCAATCCATTCGCTTTTTGGTCTTTCCTTCTTAATCTCACTCCCGATCCACTCCATCACATAGTCTTTCACCCTGCCCGATTCCGACCCTCCTCCATTGTCCTGCTTCCACCACCAATCCCTGCCCGAACCACCCTTCTTTCGATTATTACCGATCAAATCTTTTCCACTATCAATGCTAAATTTATCAAAGCACCCTTCTGAGACACTTGATTTATCGACCCCTACGTCTGGGGACAGCGCAACCGTCGTCTCCGGAGAAGCTTCGGAATCCAAAATCCTAATCATGCAACTCTCCGGCGAACGATCGACCACTGCACTACCTTCTTCAAACCCAGTGGTGACACTCTCCACCTCTTCCAAAATCAACCCATGGTCATCCCCCAAGTCCGCAACCCCATCCTTTTTCTTCGCACTATCTTCTTCTCCCCCATTTTCCTCCACCATTTCCAGATCGTCTGTTTTCAACCTAGCAAGTCCAAAATCCCCAACTTTCGCTGAGAAATCGGCATCTAGCAACACATTACTCGGCTTAATATCCCCGTGAATCACGGGCGGATTACAATGATGGTGAAGGTACTCAAGACCCTTTGAGATGTGGACAGCAATATCGAATCTCTTCTTCCACTCCATAAGCTCCTCGCACTTCCTATCCAACAACGCATCTTGCAAACTCCTATTCGGCATGAGTTCATAAACCAAAATCAGTTTTCGGCCTCGGCGATCAGAAGAGTAACCCAGGAGAGAGAGTATATAGGGAGAACTAAGCTGGGAACAGAGTGAAAGCTCGTTGTGGAACTCGCGCTCGCCTTGAAGCGACCCCGTGGAGTCCATGAGTTTGAGGGCCACGGACAGACCAGAAGGCAGGGTAGCCTTGTGAACGGAGCCGAACCCACCATGGCCGAGCTTGGTGGACGCCGAGAAGGAGTTGGTGACGCGTCGAAGGAGAGAGTAGGAGAAACGACGATGCTGATGATTGTGGCTATAGTGGTCGAATGGTGCTGTTCGGTTATAAGAGAGTTTGCGGTAGAGAAAGACTATCAGGAGGACGATGAGGACTAGGACAATGAAAGCGAGACCGATAACTCCGATAAGGATTGATTGGTGACGGCGGTGATGGGAGGGTGAGGCTGTAGGTATCGCCGCCGCCGCCGTAGGTTGTAGAGACGGTCGTGATGGCATTGTTGTAATTAGGGGAAAATGCTAGCCTTCCATGAGGGGGAGAGACAAAAGGGGGGGGGGTGTGGGGGAGTCGCTGAATGAAGGAGTGACAGAACAGAGCTGGCAGATTGATAAACCAACTCTCACTGACCTGATAATAAGTGCAGTAATAATAATAATAATATGAAAAAGAAAATTATATATTTAACCTTGCGCATTTAGGCCTTTAGGGTGTTTGGTTTTAGGGAAAATTTCAGCCTGGAACCTTGATGAAATTTAATAAAAGAGAGGACCCCAAATTTTTTGACTTCACGGAAGGGCCTGTATGGAATTTCCATTGAATTTGTAAAGGAAATAAAAAAATTATCCTCGTTTAAATAAATAGTATAAACGATCTATTTATTTTTATATTTTATGTTATTCATTTATTTACAGAATATTATTCATTTCCTGCTTCACTTATTTATAAACCTACTTTTACTTGATTTCATTTCAAGGTCATAAACAAGTAAAGCAGGAAAATGAACAACATTTAGTAAGTAAACGAACAACATATAATATCAGAACGAACAAGTTATCTTATCATAAAATCAACGCGAAATGAAAATGAAATGAAACTAAACCTGTAAATAAGTGAAGTAAGGAAATGAACAACATTCCGTAAGTATATGAACAATATGTAGTATGAGAACGAACAAGCTATTTATGTTGTTCATTTAAATGAAAGAAATTTTATCATTTCTGTTACAAATTCAGGGGCAATTCCATACAGGTCTTTCAGTGAAGTTTCAGAAATTTTGAGACCCTCTTTTTGATTAATTTTGGTCAAAGGTCCCTAACTAAAAATTTTTCTTATTTTTAACTAAATTGAGACATATGTATCTATTATATATTATTTATTCTATAATAAATTTTTATTCTTAATATTATTAACATATTAAAATCTACATGTCTTAATTAGATTAAATAAAAATATATTAAATATATAATGATAAGTATATAAATTTTGACCTAATATTATAAAAAATAAGGGCATTCAGGGAACATTGAAAAGGAAAAAATTAGGAAAAAATATTAAAATACTTATAAATGTGGAGAGAACAGTAGCTAAATTTATTCAACAACACCCACATAAAATATAAGACATTTTTATCACCTAGTATTAATTTAAAATGTGAAATACTTTGTAAAACTTTCAAAACAATAATTTTTAGGGCTTTTGCATAGATAACCTATATTATAATATTAAGTAAAAGAAATAGCCTATCCTTTCTTAAATTTTAAAAATAATCTTTTAATATTTATATTATAATTAATTTATAAAACTGCTATTTTTAATATCTTCTTTTTTTCAAATACTAGGAGGTTCAAAACACAAGAAATCTCAGGAACGAGAGAGACAAATGTGAGAGAGAAGATGAAGCTTGACACAAGAGAGACAAACGCAAGATAGCAGAGTAATGTGAGTTAGCCATAGTTACGATGGCGAGAGACAAATGTAAGATGAGACACATTGACAGTACTCGATAGAACGAAGCACGTCGGTGGAAAAATAGAGCTATAGATTCACGATTTTTTTATTTTATTAGTTTAGATATTTGATTCTCTATGAGAAGTTAAGAGTCTAAAATTTTTTATAAACTATGTTTGATTTGTTAAAGGCAAATGATCATGTGTTTTTTATATTATTATTTTATGATACTACATTATTGATATATGACTATATATCAATTATAAACAAATTTATGTCTAATTGTTTGGTTATATTGATTTATGATAGTATATTAATGATATACTATTGTACTCCCTCCATCCCTATATATAAGGTATTTTTAATCAAATTTCACATACCAATAAAAGTTTGTTATTTAGTTGGACTCACGTAAAAACATAATGCTTTACCAATTTTACCCCCGATAATATCATAATTAATATCATGATGGTGGTAAGGAAAACATACAATCAATGATTCATTCCATTTTCTAAGACAAGGATAAAATTATCTAATTACTTAAAAATATCATTGCTGTCCTTATATTTAAGGACAAAATAAGCTTTTAAAAAAAATCCTATACATAAGGATAGAGGGAGTATATCACTAATATATAAGTCATATCAGCGAAAACTTACTGATTTATTTATTATTGATATACAATCGCATATCAATGATATAATATCATAGATCAGTAATGGAGTTTCCTCTTCAATGTCTAATGTTTTCTTCGTAATATTTTGGAAAAATAGAGAGGGAGAGAGAGGAAAAAGCTCTGTGATGAAGATAGTGATTCAGGAAAATTAGATAAAAAATTTTGATAAAGAAAAGCACTACATGAGAGATTAATATAATGATCAAGAAAATTAGATCAAAAAATATGATGAAAAAAAATACTCAGAAATGATAAACCAGAGAGGTAGCACGCACAACATGATTTTTGATGATAAAAATAAAAAATTCAATCAGGTAAAGATTAGTTAAATTAGATATATTTTGTTTTAATAATAAATTTATTTTGAGGATAAAAAAAGAAAAAACACATCTAACTGATTTTATGAAAGGGTCATATTCCAAAATATTTAAAAAGGTCATCCATAATTTATAGGAGTTGTGTATTTTGAGGCTATTGAGCTAATTTTCTCATAATTTTTTCACATATATGATTAGTTGTATTATACATAAACATTATATAAGAATGTGGTTATGTTTCAATTAGTGCCAATTTGAATTTAAGCTAGTATTTGGATAGTTGGATTCCAACCAGATCCAAAGCAAAATATTTTTGTCACAGTTCCTTTAAAATTTTAAATACTTAATTCATCCTACTTATTTTAAGTCTTAATCATCATCTTTTTCAATATTACCTAAATATATAAATAATTTATATAAGCAAGACAATTTATTTTTATTGATGTAAATTTTTATACTGTCCAAACGAAAGTAAATAAATGATTTTAAATTTAAAATTGGGAAAATGACAATTAGATATTATAAGAACATTAATTATAATTTTAGACAATAAATTATTAAAATTTTAATAGTAAACTATGATCCTTACTTACAATTAACAAAAGTCTGCTGCAACTTGCAAGCCTATCACAAGGGATTGTTAATTTTCAACTAATGCTACAAAGATTTTTTAAGTATCTTTTGTTGATTTTTCAATTGATTTATCTATGTATTCGTATCAAAAAATTACAAGTTGCTTGCCATTTACAACTAACTTTCATTAATTACAAGTAAAGATCATGGTTTATTGTTGTGATTTCAATAATTTAGGGTATGTAATTGTAAGGGTTAGTATACATTTTGAATCTTAAACTATAAGTACAAAAGTTATTTGAACCCTAAATTTTTAAAAAGGGCATTTTGAATTCTAAATAATTAAAGTTGGGACAATTTTACTTCCACCGTTAAATTTCAACAAATGTTTGTTAAATTGGAGCTTAATATATGATTTTCACCAAATTTCACTCTTCCCCTCTCTCCTATCCTCATTGGGTAAAAATTACACATTAAGCTCAATTTGACGGACATTTGTCTAAACTTAATCATAGGGGGTGAAATTGTCCTAATTTTAATTGTTTAGGATTCAAAATGTACCTTTTAAAAGTTTAGAGTTCAAATTGTATAATCATTTTTCCTTTAAAATTTTCAATGTAATATTTTAAATCTAAAATCCAAATCTGATATCATTTAAATGTAATTAAAATAAATTGATTTTTATTATTGCTCACAAATATCCTCATATTAGAGATAATTTTGTTAAGCCTTAACTGCCAATCGATGGAGCAGGTAATGGGTTAATTTTGGGAAGGATAATTTTAAGAGGATTAAAATCCAAGGCCACATGGTTTCCTAAATGATTGTTAACCGTTGGGCTACTTACACTAATGTAATTGTGTAAAATATATGTATGCATGCATGCATGTAATAACTCGTGTTCAATATAAAGAAATGACAACTTAAATATAAGAAAATGATAATTTGAAAAAAAAATGACAACTTGAATGCAAGAAATAAAGAAAATAACACTTACATATAAGAAAATAACAATTTGGACATAGAGAAGTGATAGCTTGATAAAGGTAAATGATAACTTATGAGAAAATAAATGCCATTTTCCTTTGTCAAAGTATCATTTTCTTATGCCTGAGTTGTTATATACTTATACCTAAGTTATTATTTGTTATCAAGTTGTCATTTTTCTATGCCCCAATTATCATTTTCTTATTGCGGAAACAAGTTATAATATATATATATATATATATAGCATTATTTTGTCAATATGTATAAGAAGTCCAATGGTTAATAATTATTTTGGAGACCATGTGACCAGTGACAAATGTGGGACCTGAGTTCAGTAGGAGAAAATTAATCAAAAACAAAAAAAAATCAAATGGCAATAACCATTATCATATTATAATCAAATACTAACTTTGGCAAGGGAAAAAAAGAGTAAAATACTAACCATTAGATGAAGATAGTAGTAATTTTCTATATTTTTTATAGACTAAGATAATGAAATATTTTCCAATAAATAAATATACATCAATAAATGAATGAAATATAAATTATTTTCAATGTCTTCAGGCTTAGACAAGTCACCTTAACTAAATCATGATAGCCAACGTACATGCATGTGGGCTTGGACTGTCACCTAGAGAAAAAAGCAGTTTGGTTCAACCCTTTGACTCATTTTGGTAGTTGGCCTGAGCTTGGCCCACTTTGATTAGGGTAGTTCTTGAAGACTTAAAGAAAAACAAAACATTCAAAACGATTGGACTGTTTTGACTCGTTTTTCACTTAAATATTATTTTTATTTAATTATTATGTTGTCGGTTTAACCATTGGTTTAATCGATGAAAATTATGACTTGTTGACCTTTTTGGTTCATCATCTAATCTAATTTGATTTTTAAGACATTGATTATTTTATTAAAATAGAAGTTAAGTTAAGTCAACTAACAGAAGTACCGAACAAATAAATTTATACTTGTTAAATTAAATATGAAGCAATCCAAAAGCAATGCTCTCTCTTAAATCACATGTCGGGACATAATTCAATTATATTTTTAG